ATATCTATATATCTAATAATGGTGACTGACTTCCATGTTTATCTGATAAGGTAAACATATGGTTATCTAAAACTCAGCTGCCTAAGCCTGCCTTTGTTATTTAAATCTGTCTCACTTGAGTTTAAATTACAAACAATTATTTTATCTAAATTGTAAAGTATTAATTAAATTATTTGTTATTTATGTTTATTTGATATTGCTATTAGACAAACCAATATCTATCTAATAACGGTGAATGACTACCATGTTTATCTGATAAGAAACGTAACATACAAGGGAAAGTTCCTGAAATAGGACTAAAACAGTTTGAAAATTCCAAAATAGGACCGCCATGTTTTTTTATATATGGGGTCACTTTCTCTGTACATGACAGTTTGCTCAATTTATATATTTATTTTCAATTTAATCATGTTCATACTAACCATGTTTCTACGCACATCATTAACGATGTTCATGTAAATACACTTTTGCTCATCTGTTAACTGATCAATGAGATGTGGTAGCTGTCATGCTAAGTCTTCTCTATCATATTCCATCTCTTCATTTATATGTGCATTTTCATCATAACTTACATGTGACACCCCGAATATTTAAATAAAATAAAATTAACAATTTGAGTGATTAGATAAAACTTTGACTTAAATAATAAAAGTGACATTTTTAAAAAATTAGTAATAACAAAATAATGCATACATAACATGCGTATATCACACCTATATAAAGCACACCGAATGTATATACATATGAGTTATGATTTATTGGTTAAAAGTTCCTTTATTTAGTAGTCTATAAGTTTAACTTCGCAGTTCTCAGCCTAAGAGCACTTCTCACCTGATCCGCTCCCTCTATATATATATATATATATATATATATATATACACACACACACACACACACACACACACACACACACACACTAAAGTTCAGGTCCGGCCAGGCCGGACCACTCCCTCCGTCCGGCCTCCTCCATTTGGGGGCCTTCCCGATGGTATTTTTTGCTCAAATTTTTTGTGTAGGTTCCTCATCAAGTCTAGTTCATCCATACCAAATTTCAGAAAAATATTCAATCGGGAAGGTTGTCAAATGATTTTTGCAAGTTAACTGGTCCGGAATATGTATTTTCCGGACCAGTTAACTTGCAAAAATCATTTGACGACCTTCCCGATTGAAGTTTTGGCTGAAATTTGGTATGGATGAACTAGACTTGATGGGGAACCTACACAAAAAATTTGAGAAAAAAATACCACTGGGAAGGCCCCCAAATGGAGGAGGCCGGACGGGGCTCCGGTCAGGTATACCTGACCGGAAGACTACTCTATATATATATATATATATATATATATATAGAGAGAGAGAGAGAGAGAGAGAGAGAGAGAGAGAGTATGGATAAAAAAAGTGTTTCCTAGGTGAAAAGTAAGAACTAATCTTGGCCATTGATATGAAAAAATGGTTGAAAGAGATCAAATTTTAAGTGAAAAACGCGGTGGCGTTTTGGTAATTATAAAGAATTTTTAATAAAAAAGTTATTCAAAAAGTGTACAAGAATATGCAAAAAGTGTACATGCAGAACACAAAAGTGCATAACGCTACATCATAAAATGTGCACAAGTTCAAAAAAAATTGGCAATCTTTTTTAACACTCAAGAGTGCACTTCTAGTCATGTAATATCCACATTGTACAATAAACATTTGCACATTATTTCACTTCGTGTCTTGTGAATAAAGTTAATCTAAGCCATTCATTTAGAAGTGATTAAAGGCTAAGATTTGTTCTCACTTTTCATGGGAAGACTACTTTTTACTTGAACCCTTCTATATATATAGGGTGCGGTTCCAGTGAGAACGATGTTTAACGTGAGAACGTGAGAACACTCACATTTAAATCAATGTGGTGCACAATGGAGTTGTTATGTTGCATATTTTCAATTTGCTCGAGTTAAGCATATACTAGTAATAAATAAGCACAGTGGCATTTTGATAAATATTGTAAAAATAGGAAAAAGTGCAATATGTAAGCTTCATTGTGCAACACGTTGGGGTAAAGGTGGTGTTCTCACGCTAAACATTGTTCTCATTTGATCTTTATTCTCTCTCTCTCTCTCTCTCTCTATATATATATATATATATATAGAGAGAGAGAGAAAATGTGTATTCCGGACCAGTTAACTTGCAAAAATCATTTGACGACCTTCCCGGTTGAGTTTTTGGCTGAATTTTTTTGTGGATAAACTAGACTTGATGGAGAACATGTCATAAATATTTCATCAAAAAAAGCCACCGGGAAGGCGGCCAAACGCCTTGGTCCGGACGGCGGTTCCGGTCAGGAGCTCCTGACCTGAACATTTGTCTATATATATATATATAAACCTGACAGGCAAATCACCAAAATCAGTGGGGCAAACGCCGGGGAACGCTTGCCGGGTATTATAGAGATGAAATGAAAAATACAGAATGTGAGGGGGACCGAGCCTAAACCTCAGAAAGGGCATTCCCTTTCAGCAAAAATAACAAAAAAATCAATAAACATAAGGTGTAGCACTCTTATCAAGCAATAAGACCTCTCCAAGCTCATTAGGAAATGGATAACCCCTTCTCCACCTAAAAGCCCGATGCTGACCCAGCCTAGCCACCATCCCTGCTGCATTTAATACAAATGTAAAACACCTTTACTACTAGGGGAAATCATTCAAGGAAGAAAAATAACTAGCGTATTTGCAATATCTGAATGAGCTAAAGAGGATGAATGTTGTTGACACAAGATTTACATACTATGCTATATATTTAATACATACACACATATAATATGATATATTTATAAGTTGAATTAAAGATACGTATACTCACAGTTATCTCATCTATGAGGTCTATCACCGTCTTAGAGGAAATGGTACTCCAGTATCCCGTATCCATTGGACAATGTGTCCTCACAATTGCTCCAATGTCATGCACTAATAGACTATGTATCTCCGCACTAGTTGCATGTCTAGTCACTCTATTGTATTCAACTTTAAGGCTTTGTCTGGTTATGCGCACCATTCGTGAAGTCTTAATATGTTTACATGGATCTCGCTTTGGAACCTCGCTGGTTGTCTCCGGTGAGGAGATAAAACCTATCATACCAATCAAAATAAAGCTCCATACACGTATTATCATATGATCATTTATATTTAAGGAATAACATATGGTCAACATGTAACAAAAATATCATTCGCTTCACCACTTAATGCTTCATCATTATCTCTATGCCCATGAGAAGTGTTGCTTTGTGGAGATGCTATAAATCCTCAAAGTTTTGTAAAGAACATTAGTAAAACTAATAAATCTGAGTTATTACTTTAAATAGAATTATTTTATGAAACAATCACTATTTTAAAAAGTAAAATAAAAATGGATCCTATTAACTAAGTGTATAAAAAATACTATTGAATTAATGTTTTTACCATAATAATTTAATAAGAAATACTAGTTTCATACCTCTGCTTGTGTTAAGTGTAGAACTATGATGGACAGAATTTGTGCGATGCGAAGTTGAAAAGTCAAAGTCCTTGGAGGAATCTTAAACTGTACAGTGTTCCCGCCCAAACACTGTATAGTAACGGGTCAGGTCGGTTTGCCATGGGTGCAAAAACGGGTCTGGCGGAAGCCCAATGTTGTGTTTTAATGCTGACCCAATATCCAATGCTTCAATACTCAATGCTTCAATTTTGTGGCTCAAGATAATTCATTTAATGTATGACAGCAAGTCTTATTGAGTACAATTGTCTCTCTCTTCCAGTTTGAATGGTTGCTGACTTGCTGCTTTTATGATTAAAAAAGAACCTAAATTGTATTTTTGAACCTAGAGATCACAAATAAAATCCCCATGCAGTCTTGAGCCACAAAAACATTTAATGCATTGTACTATGCTTGCAAATAACTTAGATGAGAAAACTGATTTTCGTACCTCTCTCCTCCGTTTCGAAAATAAATTTACAAAAGATGATTTAAAAAGGAAGTAAATTGTACTTCAAATCCTAGAGTAGGGCTGGCAATATCACCCGCACCCGCGGATACCCGGTCAACCCGAACCGAAAATATGGATGAAAACCCGAAGAAGTATGGATGAAAAATGGATGACGGGTGGATCGAAAGACGGGGTGGATCGGGTGTGGATGAAGGCTCATCCAACCCATCACCCGACCCGTCACCCGTTCCATCCACCCACCCGCTGACCCGCACATAAGTACATAATATATAATATATAATATATATTATATCTATTTAATAATTTATAATAATAATAATAATAAAATAATAATAATAATAATAATAATAGTTAATTGGTGAAACAAAGATAATTGGAGAGCTTCAAGAAGTGGCAGTTAAATAGCAAAAATAGTTTTGTGCCAATGCATAAATGCAGAATTTAACAACTTGAAGAAGTTTTATGTCTATTGTGTTTAACATTCCGTTTTTTTCTTTGTAATTGGGAGTGAATTAATGATTGTAATATACTTTATTGCTCATGTTTTGTTGTTATTTTACAATGAATTCTTAATTTTTGGTTCTTAATTGCCATGATTTCTCTTTGTAATTTATTTATTTTGTCTCAAGTTTGAACATTTATATTTCACCCGCTACTCACCCGATCCACCCGATAATCCGTTCAAGATGGATGGGTTGGATGTGGATGTAATTTTTAATGGATGATGGACGGGTGGGTGGAGTATAAAAAATTAACGGGTGGACGTGGATGAGCCTCCACCCGGTGAAAATCCGACCCGCTGCCACCCCTATCCTAGAGGCCACAATTAAAATCCCAATGCAATCTTGAGCCACACGAACATTTAATGCATTGTACTATCTTTGAAAGAGTACAATTAAATTTTGGTACTACAAAATCCCAATGTAAAGATTGGGTAGGTAATAAACCTTTGGTTAATACCCAATGGCTTCACATTATACTGCCACCAGACACTATAAATACCCAAGTGGGGGTTGTCTAAACACACCACAAACAACCAACACACAACATGGTCATGGCATGGAAAGTGAGGGTCATATGGATCTTAGAGGTTTGATCAATTTCAGGAGAAAGGAGAGCGTTCAAAGATAAGTGGCACATAGGTTTAAAAAAATTAGATTTCTACATTGCAAGTCTGATATTATTAATCATGCCATTTATTGATAAAAAGTTCAAAGATTGGGTAATAGCGGTTTATACCAAACCGCCGTGTTTTTACAATAGCAAACGCTGCTTTTTGCGGTGTATTGCTTCCAATCCGCCAAAATACAAACACCCCCTTCATCTCATGATTTTGTGGCACTTTCCAGGAAGCAACTTTTAAAAGAGTTCAGGTAGAGGTGCTAATTCAGGTAAGAAACTATCATGTATCGTTTGTTTTTTGAAAGTATTTTCTACACTAGCTAAAAACTATTTTATAATTGATCATTTAATGCTTTGAAAATTATTCCTGGGGTGGGAGAAAATAGAAGTCGGTTTCCTGAACAAGTAATTCATTGGATTTTTTTTGTAACTGGGAGGCTTATATTGATAATAAAACACTCAGCAAGGGAAAATAATGATAAAGAAAACATTTCCGGCCACCGACCCTCGGGCCAGCTGGAGAATCAATCACCTTAAACAAAGCAATGTGTTTCGTTGCTCCTGTATTGGGTCTACTTGAGCCAAACGTAGCCAGAGTGAAAACCTCATCACCCCCACCTAGTGTAAAAGTCTGGTAGAACAAAACCACAGTAATCGAAAGGAAAAAAAACTGAGAGCAACAGGTAAATTCGAAAATAAAAAACGCGTGGAAATTAAAAAGCATTCTGAAGCAAAAGAACGAGCACCAGCACCCGTTCCCATCTGAAATCCTCTTCAAAGAACTCGGCGGGTCGAGGCGTCTGAACCCGCCCCCTCCCTGTTTTTTGGGTCAACCAGGGCCATAGTTTCTTCCTCTTCTCTATCTCCGCTAGCCTCTTCCCAGGTCCGCCTGCGTTTTGGCTCCCTGCTCTTATCCTCCATGGCCGCTGTTTCTGCATTCTCCACTCCACTCTTTGTGTTACGGACTAGAGGAGTATTCCACTCTTTCCTGTTCAAACCCAAACTGCCTCCCTCCTCTCGAGTTGCCCTGTTATCCTCCTTTGGTCATTCTGAGATAATCCACTTGTTTCCCCCCTCCATCCGTGCTTTCCCCCCTCCTCCTACCCGTAGGCCGACACAATACGGCCGAATAGTAGCCGCAGAATCATTCTCATAAACCAAGGGACAAAACTTGTCAGCATATCCAATAACACTACATGAAAAGCAAAAGCTAGATAATTTCTCATATTTAAAATCGACCCAATGCCCTTCGCCTTTTCTGAGCGTGGTGCCAACCTTTAAAGGTTTTCCCACATCCAAACAAGCTCTAATCCTCATATACGGCTTCCATTTTTTTTTATCAAACTGAGGTTTTTCCCAACTAACAAATTTTCCAACAAAGTTCCCAATTCTCCTAGCCACACCCAGATTCATAAAATCATAAGGAATATCATGAGCCTGGACCAAGAACTCAGCCTCATTCAGAGGAACACGAAGTGGGACATCACCGGGCTGCAGCGCCCGAAGAACCAACAAATTCTGCTCAAATATCCATGGTCCATCTTCAAGCACATGTTTCATGTCTATAGGGTGAAAGAACGTAAACATATACCTTTTTTCGCCGATTTCCTTTATTGAGATACCCTTCCCAGGCCTCCAAAGTGAGGCCATGAGATTCTGAAGAGACGAAAATTTCACCATCTTATCGGTGATCACAGTCCCTACCACCGGATAAACCTCCTGCTCAGCCAAGTCTCCTTCCTCTTCAAGCGTTTCCTCCTCAAAGACCAATTCTTCTTCCTGATTCCCAATAGCCATATCCTTATATTTGTTTGCGGTTTCCTCCATCTTCCTATCAAGAATGTTGAGAAATTCACTCGTCCACCTGCAAGTATACTAATAAAACGAAACAAAACTGCTCCACCTAAACCGAAGAAGCTAAGCAGTGCGAACCAAAACAGAAAAACAAAATCCAGCGCCTTGCCTCACGATCGAACACCAAGCGAAGAGCTCCTCCCCCACGATCGAGGAAGAAAGATCGGCGCAAGAAGCAAGATCGGTGCAAGAAGAAACCGAACCCTAGATGCCTTGGGAGACGTCCGCTCTTTGTTCCCTTAAGACTTCCCATTACATATTCTCTTATTAGAATATCCATTGGATTTCTGAAAAACACAAAAACTTTTCTAAAAGAACAAGGCAATTATTTGTGCAAAGGCCACATTTACAAACCAAAACCCAGGGATTACTTGAAACTAAGTTTTTATAAATTACTTATTCATGTGTAATGTGTATATATAACATTTCAAGATTGAAAAATATATTTATTCCATATCATCAAAAGTAGGGGTGGGGAAAAATACCGAAATTTCGGTATACCAGACTTACCATATCGAAAAATACCGAATTTACCGAAATGTTTGGTATACCGATGCTTTTGGTACGGTATGATACCGTACCGAATTACTTCGGTATGGTATCGGTATATATTTTGAAAACAAACGGTATACCGGGGGTACCGTCATACCGTAATTCCAAGTCAATAATTTCCTTAAAAATGTAAAAATAACTAGAAACACAACACTAATTTAAGGATAAATGACTTTATATCCATGTTTCTTGAATTATTTATACTTTTTGTTGGAGATCGGTGTTATTTTAGTTATATTTATGTTGTTTAAATTATTTTAACAGAATGTGTTGTTATCTTCATATATCATGTGTTGAAATATCTATACATATTTATAATATTTTTTTGTCAAAAGTTGAATAGAACACAAATAGGTTATCTCATTGGAATTTTATAATTAATTTCATTAATGATTTTAGTATATCACTATTAACACTGATTTTCTTTATTTCATTTGACATATAATAATTTGTTATATTAAATCATGGTAATTTACCGATACCGTACCTTACCGTACCGAAATTTCGGTATACCGAAACAAGGTATACCGAAATTTCGGTAGGGTAACGGTATGTTTTTTTTCATACCAAAAGTTTACGGTATGGTAAAGGTATGCGATAAAATATACGGTATACCGTGCCGAACTACCCCTAATCAAAAGTCATCACATGTGCTATTAAATTATATATTCAGCCTTTTGTGTCAAATAATTAGCTCAAACAAAAACATGTTACTTTGAAGCAAATAAATGTTACTGAAATAATGAAATGATATCTTAATATGATTCATACTTGCCTTTGAAGTTGCACAAACTCGGAACCTGCATATTCTATTTTAATCTAATTAATAATTACATTTTCCTAATGAATATTACATGGTTGGAATCCTTATCAAGGTTCCAGAACATATATACATTTTCTATATAATAACCATATAACTAAAAATAACAAAAAGACATCCTGGCCAACGAAACCTGCAAGATATATGGTGAATAAGATGTCTGAACAAGAAAAATTTAATTATAATATTACAAATCGATTAGCTCGGTGTGTTATGCTTCACAAATTTTTGAAAGAGATATAACTAAAAAACATTAAAACATTAATGCCTTAAACAATACTATTCTAACACAAATTAATTGAGGAGACTTAGATTTTATATATTTATCTATTTATAAAAAAATGTTGGCTAAACTTTACTTTGATGCACAACATCACAGAGGGTGCAGTTTTCTATCTTAGTTTTGTCCCAATTCAAGCATATATAATGAAGATATATAATAAGTAATAAAATAAGTTATTAACAAATTAAATTGGAACGAATTAAATAAGTCATCATTCTTTGAAAGAGCAGCAAACGGCGTTCTTGTCTTCAATCGATCTTGTGCGGCTAGCCAAGATCGGCGACCAAGACAGGAAATAGATAGCTTCGATCGGCGTTAGCTATATGTTCGTGAGGTAATTTTTGAATCAAAGGCGGTCGTCTCCCCTCGTGTTAGGGGTTATTTTTCTTCGCTTTCGTCTTCAACGAAGTGCGGCTTTCGTCCGCATTCCGTGAGACTCTCTTATTCGGCAGACCGCAGCGCCTATATGGCGGCCAAAGGTTGTGTATCCCTAGCAACATGTGGAGAGGTTCGAGGATGTCGTTCATGGTTGAGATCAAAAGGTCATGGACAAAACGTGGGGCTAGGGGCTGGATCAGACCTGGATCGGAGGCAAGGAGCGGAAGATGCTTCAGTACTGTTGGACCGTCCCCCTCCTGAACCGCCGCCATGGAGTGCAAGAGAGTTTAGGGTTTGGAAGCAGTATTTTAATTTTATTGTTTGCTTGCTATTTAATTTCCATGGTCATTGGTTTGGGGGATGAGAGGTCTACGGTAATCGTCATTGGCTTTATGTTGCCCAAATTAGGTCTAACGAGTTATATTGTTTTGTCAAAGGTGATTAACTCAGAGTCTCGGCCAAGAGCGGATGGTTATATGTGGTCCTTTTGTTATCCTGTACCCCTGCTGAATGCTATTTTATTAATTTAAGCCCCCTCCCTTCGATCAAAAAACAAATTAAATTGGAACAAAATTAAAATTTGATTTAGGTACAACCATGGCTATTGTACTTGATAGTAATTTACTACAACGAATTCAATTCTCAATAAGGATGATTAAAAGAATTTTCTATGAAAGCCGCTCAAAGAATTTGAGTTTTGTGCAGAAACAAGGACCAAATGAAATCATTATTCTTTAAGAGCAAGTTTGCACTTCAACTTTTTGAGCATATTTATTTTGGCCTTAATATACAATACCAGGTATTTGAATTTTGAATTACCAAAATTGGCAGTAAGGCTAAATTAATGTGTAATAATATAAACATCATCAATCTTTTAAAAGGGGAAATCTTTTGTTCAAGTAAATTGGATCAAGAAAACATGTGCAGACCACTGTATTATTATATTATATTACTAGTTTTCAAGTCCGTGCGATGCACGAACAATATGCATTTTAGCTAATTTTAAATTTGATTTTTTCGGGATCATATATAATGTGATTCAATAACAAAATGAATTCAATCTAATATAGAATCTGTTTGATAATACTAAAATTGGTCGAATTAGCTTATTTTGCTGAAATTGATTAAATTCTGGCTGAATGGGCTAATAGGTGGAATCTCCCGAGTCATGAAAAAAATATGTAAAATATATTCCATTTGTAAAACAAATAAAAAGTTATATGAAAATAGTTAAAATGGTCTTCTGCATAAGCATCTCAAGTAAAAATAATTGTTATGAACCCGATTTTAAAGAAGTCATAATCTCATGTCCTCTAAATGACTTTATTATGCACCTCAAGTTTTTTTAGTAATACACCTCATTCAACTTAATATGAAATACTAAGTACATACTTTTAACTTTTAATAATAGGATGTTACATTTTACTCATTATTTTGTCACATTGTAAACGTAAAAAAATGGAGTTTTTTATTTTACATTTTACTCATTATTTTGTTACATTGAAAACGATTTTTAATTGTTATGGATGTCTAAATTACCTTATTGAGCATTTCAAAAATAATACTTTTCTAAAATTTCCCGTTCAACTTGGTATGAAATACACATTTTTTAATTTTAATTGTGAGATCTTACATTTTTCTCATTAATTAGGACATTTTTAATTGAATTAAAATTTTGGGTTTGATTTGGTTTGAATTAATATGTTCTCGTAGATGCTTGTTTTACATTTTTTGTGACTTATTATTATTATGATTAAAGTTTGACCTGGTCTGATTTAGTCTGAAACTGAAATTAGTCCAATTAAAAACTTTCTATTGAATAAAGTTAGGAATTTGTAAAAATATAAAGATTTCCTAATTTGGATTAGGAATCTATTTCAAAAGTTAAGTCATATTTAAATTGTACTAATATATACTTTATTGGCTAGGCTAAAAGTATTTACTTGTGAAAATAAATATACATATACATATATTTATGTATGATATCAATTTTCATCCTTGTTAAATATGGTAAGCTAGTTGATCAAAAGTATTCTGTTTAAGAGAATCTATACATGAATATACAAATATGTATACTTAATACTTATCATCATCCAGAAAAAAAACTTATCAAATACGTATAGTAATAGGGGTTGAAAAAGTTACCAAATTAATTAAGGTGGATTTCTATGATCTTTTGTTTCCATATCAATATCAACATCTAATCAAAAATATAATCTAATAAAAACAAAAGGTATAAAAATAAATAAATAATTGTTATATATAATAACATGGCAGGATTATGTGGCGCTTTGTCTGCTCTTAAAAAGTTCTTCTTTTATATATATATATATTGATTATGGAGTATTCTTTAGTAATAATACAAACAACACTAAGGAAGGCAATCAATGACATACAGTTCGCCATCATTCCTTATTCAAATAAAAGTAACAGTCCATCAAAAAAATAAGCAGATTTAGTAAAATAAACAAATCTTGTAAGAAAAATAATATAGACAAACTAAAACATAGTAATAGTATAGGATGTACCAAAATGAAGAAATAAGATATTAAATTTGAGATTCTAAATAATATGGAAATTAATTTCCTTGCCTTACATTGATAATGAGTAGAGTATATATACACATTATGTAAGCCCTAGGTTACTCGGCCCATACAAATCAGATTAGAGCTAAATACAAAGCTAATGACTAACTAATAACAAATACAAGCCCATATCGGTTTAACACCCCCCCTCAAGTTGGAGCATGCAGATCACAAATGCCCAACTTGCGAAGAAGATAAAGAAATTGATTCTTCCCAAGAGTCTTGGTAAAAATATCTGTGAGCTGATCGTGTGTAGAAACATGATGAGTAGTGAGCAACCTGTCTTGCAAAGCGTCACAAACGTAGTGACAATCAACTTCAATATGTTTTGTCCGTTCATGGAATACCGGGTTTTGTGCAACATGAATAGCAGACTTGCTATCACACATAAGGGTCATGGGCCGAGAATGAACAACACCGAGACTAAGAAGAAGACCCTTAAGACATTTGAGTTCTGCGGTAATAGATGCCATGGAACGGTATTCTACTTTAGCAGAGGATCGAGACACATTGTGTTGTTTCTTGGTCTTCCATGAGATAGGCGAGCTACCAAGAAAAATGACCCATCCGGAGAGAGAGCGTCGAGTAAGAGGGCAGCTAGCCCAGTCTAAGTCACACCATCCAGAAAGAAGTAAATCACACGATGAAGAAAGAAGGATGCCCTGTCCAGGACAGCCCTTAAGATACCGAACCACACGAAGGGCCGCATGCCAATGCTCTTGGCGTGGTGCCTGCATAAATTATGAGAGAATATGAACATCATAGGCGCCATCAGGACGAGTAAAAGAGAGGTAAATCAGCCGCCTGACCAACCTCCTATATGGCTCTGCATCGGCAAAAAATTCTCCACCAGCAAGAGCTAGATCGTGATGTTGTTCCATTGGGAATGAGGCTGGTTTAGCACCAAGAAGTCCAGCCTCCGATATGATATCCAATGTGTACTTTCGTTGGCACAAATAAATGCCCTCAGCACTGTGTGCAACTTCAACACCAAGAAAGTACTTGAGGAGTCCCAAGT